ACAGGGTTATAGAGCTGGTACAGTACACAGGGTTATAGAGCTGGTACAGTACATAGGGTTATAGAGCTGGTACAGTACACATACAGGGTTATAGAGCTGGTACAGTACACAGGGTTATAGAGCTGCTACAGTACACAGGGTTATAGAGCTGGTACAGTACACATACAGGGTTATAGAGCTAGTACAGTACACAGGGTTATAGAGCTGGTACAGTACACAGGGTTATAGAGCTGGTACAGTACACAGGGTTATAGAGCTGGTACAGTACACAGGGTTATAGAGCTGGTACAATGCACAGGGTTATAGAGCTGCTACAGTACACAGGGTTATAGAGCTGCTACAGTACACAGGGTTATAGAGCTGCTACAGTACACAGGGTTATAGAGCTGCTACAGTACACATACAGGGTTATAGAGCTGGTACAGTACACAGGGTTATAGAGCTGGTACAATGCACAGGGTTATAGAGCTGCTACAGTACACAGGGTTATAGAGCTGCTACAGTACACATACAGGGTTATAGAGCTGCTACAGTACACATACAGGGTTATAGAGCTGCTACAGTACACAGGGTTATAGAGGTGGTACAGTACACGGTTATAGAGCTGCAACAGTACACGGTTATAGAGCTGCAACAGTACACAGTTATAGAGCTGCAACAGTACACGGTTATAGAGCTGCAACAGTACACGGTTATAGAGCTGCAACAGTACACAGTTATAGAGCTGCAACAGTACACAGTTATAGAGCTGCAACAGTACACAGTTATAGAGCTGCAACAGTATACATACAGGGTTACAGAGCTGCTACAGTACACAGGGTTATAGAGTTGCTACAGTACACATACAGGGTTATAGAGCTGCTACAGTACACAGCTATAGAGTTGCTACAGTACACATACAGGGTTATAGAGCTGGTACAGTACACATACAGGGTTATAGCGCTGGTACAGTACTCATACAGGGTTATAGAGCTGCTACAGTACACATACAGGGTTATAGAGCTGCTACAGTACACATACAGGGTTATAGAGCTGCTACAGTACACATACAGGGTTATAGAGCTGCTACAGTACACATACAGGGTTATAGAGCTGCTACAGTACACATACAGGGTTATAGAGCTGCTACAGTACACATACAGGGTTATAGAGCTGCAACAGTACACAGACTGGATTATAGAGCTGTCACAGTACACAGACAGGGTTATAGAGCTGCAACAGTACAGTTATAGAGCTGCAACAGCGCACAGTTAGAGCTACAACAGTACACAGTTATAGCGCTGCTACAGTACACAGTTATAGAGCTGCTACAGTACACAGCTATAGAGTTGTTACAGTACACATACAGGGTTATAGAGCTACAGTACACATACAAGGTTATAGAGCTGCTACAGTACACATACAGGGTTATAGAGCTGCTACAGTACACATACAGGGTTATAGAGCTGCTACAGTACACATACAGGGTTATAGAGCTGCTACAGTACACACACAGGGTTATAGAGCTGCTACAGTACACACACAGGGTTATAGAGCTGCTACAGTACACATACAGGGTTATAGAGCTGCTACAGTACACACACAGGGTTATAGAGCTGCTACAGTACACACACAGGGTTATAGAGCTGCTACAGTACACATACAGGGTTATAGAGCTGCTGCAGTACACATACAGGGTAATAGAGCTGCTACATTACACAGACAGGAGTATAGAGCTGCTACAGACAGGGTTATAGAGCTGCTACAGTACACAGACAGGAGTATAGAGCTGCTACAGTACACAGACAGGGTTATAGAGCTGCAACAGTGCACAGTTATAGAGCTGCAACAGTGCACAGTTATAGAGCTGCAACAGTGCACAGTTATAGAGCTGCTACAGTACACAGTTATAGAGCTGCTACAGTACAGTTATACAGCTGCAACAGTACAGTTATAGAGCTGCTACAGTACACATACAGGGTTATAGAGCTGCTACAGTACACATACAGGGTTATAGAGCTGTTACAGTACACATACAGGGTTATAGAGCTGCTGCAGTACACATACAGGGTTATAGAGCTGCTACAGTACACATACAGGGTTATAGAGCTGCTACAGTACACATACAGGGTTATAGAGCTGCTACAGTACACATACAGGGTTATAGAGCTGCTACAGTACACATACAGGGTTATAGAGCTGCTACAGTACACAGAGCGTGAAGCTCTATTCAGCTCTGTCTTTCCTTTGATCCAAATCCAATTCTCCACAGAATCATAGAGCAGTGGAATTAGATCAGCTATAATCACTCTGGACTGCCGAGAGGAGGAGCCCAAGGTCTGAAGCTCGACCTTTGTATTTAAGAACATCTAAATCAGAACGCATAAACTTTGGCCCGAGTTCGGACGCTGCCAGATGGTCTGAGAGCTGGTGGTGCTGACGTCACGGTGCATGCCCTGACGTCATTAAGTGCTGGTTGCTGACGTCATGAAGTGCTGGCGGCCAGTCACGGCTCTCCGTGACCACGTCATCGACCGTATTTCGTGACGTCATTGACCGCTATATTTAGCAATGCTGGGGGTTATACGGTGACGTCATGTGTTGAAACTCACGCCATGAAGTACAAATAGTCTACACTCTTGACGCCCACACAGATGCTTGCACACATGCACTCGCGCGCACACACACACACACACACACACACACACACACACACACACACACACCGAATCACCTTCTGTGGTTGAGTGTTCAATAAACCCTTGAACTATATGTTTAACACATCTCTAACCCTGTCCATGGAGGACAGAAGAAAATGATAATATGCTGATTAGCATTGTAAATGTGTGGCCACGTTTGTGGTAGAAAATAAACACACACACACACACACACACACACACACACACACACACACACACACACACACACACACACACACACACACACACAATGATGGAACTCAAACTTGTGTCCATGGGACAAGAGGTCTGGGAAAGGAGAGTTGACTACAGGAAAGGGGACTATAAGAGGATAAGGGACTATCTGGGTGAAGTGCATTGGGAGTAAAAACAGTCCAAGGTATGATGAACCTGGTCATCCGGAAATGCAAGGACGCTGAAGATAGATTTATTCCAACAGTAAAGGAAAAAAGCAGGAGGGAATATAATAACCCATGGTTTAATAGACAGTGTCAGGAAGCAAAGGTGAGAAGCAGGAGTTGAGTGGAGGAAGTACAGAAGACAAAGGACAGAGGACAACAGGATTAGATGTAACAGAGCTAGGAACGATTACATTAACATAAGACGAACATCGGAAAGAGACTATGAGAACGATATTGCAATCAAAGCGAAAAAACAACCTAAGTTACTACACAGTCATATAAGAAGAAAAATGTCGGTGAACGACCAAGTGACAAGACTAAGGAAGACAGAGGGGGCATATACTGAGTGACAAGGAAATCTGCGAGGCACTGAATGCCAGTTTCCATGGAGTGTTCACTACCGAGCCTGAGCAGCTCCCATTGTTGGAAGGGGTTACGCTAGATGAAAGACTATCATATATAGAGGTGACAGCAGAGGAGGTAATGAAACAGTTGACAACTCTAGATGCAACTAAAGCTGTTGGACCAGACAAAGTATCACTGTGGATACTAAAAGAGGCAGCGCAGGCCCTCAGCGTGCCTCTGGCAATGATCTTTAATGAGTCACTTATGTCAAGAGAATTGCCCAGTTGCTGGAAGAAGGCAAATGTACCGATTTTCAAGAAAGGAGATAGGGAGGAGGCATTTAACTACAGACCGGTATCACTGACAAGTATCCCCTGTAAAGTACTTGAAAGAATAATTAGGCTAAGACTTGTTGCACACCTGGAGAACATTAGGTTTGTAAACAAACATGAACATGGGTTCTGGAATGGAAAATCATGCCTAACAGGCCTTTTGGAATTCTAAAATAAAATAACAAGGATAAGACAGGACAGAGAAGGTTGGGCAGACTGTATATTTCTGGACTGCCAAAAAGCCTTTGATACAATACCGCACATGAGACTGCTGTTCAAACTTGAGAGGCAGGCGGGGGTGGGAGGAAAGGCCCTAGCATGGGTAAGGAACTACCTAACAGGAAGGAGCCAAAGAGTTACGGTAAGGGGCGAGAAGTCGGACTGGCGAACAGTAACAAGTGGAGTACCTCAAGGATCGGTGCTGGGACCAATTCTATTTCTAATATATGTTAACGACATGTTTACAGGAGTAGAGTCCTACATGTCGATGTTCGCGGATGACGCAAAGTTGATGAGAAGAGTTGACAGATGAGGATTGTAGGATCCTCCAAGAGGACTTGAACAGGTTGCAGAGTTGGTCAGAGAATTGGCTACTGGAGTTCAACACGAGTAAATGTAAAGTTATGGAAATCGGATCAGGTGATAGGAGACCAAAGGGACAGTACACAATGAAGGGGAACAGCCTACTTGTGATGACGCGAGAAAGAGACCTGGGCGTGGACGTAACACCTAATCTATCTCCTGAGGCACATATAAATAGGATAACGACAGCAGCGTACTTTACACTGGCAAAAGTTAGAACATCATTCAGAAACCTAAGTAAGGAGGCATTTAGGGCGCTTTACACTGCCTACGTGAGGCCAGTCTTAGAGTATGCCGCCTCATCATGGACTCATGATGAGGGCGAAGAAACCCCACCTGAAGAAACACATAAGGAAAATGGAAAAGGTTATCTTGAGGTTATCTTGAGATGATTTCGGGGCTTTAGTGTCCCCGCGGCCCGGTCCTCGACCAGGCCTCCACCCCCAGGAAGCAGCCCGTGACAGCTGACTAACACCCAGGTACCTATTTTACTGCTAGGTAACAGAGGCATAGAGTGAAAGAAACTCTGCCCATTGTTTCTCGCCGGCGCCTGGGATCGAACCCAGGACCACAGGATCACAAGTCCCGCGTGCTGTCCGCTCGGCCGACCTGCTCCCTTTTTTTTTTTTTTTTTTGCATTTTTCGTCACCGTAGCGACCCGTATGGTCTACTGTGCACAGTTGTCAAGCAGCAATGAACTGTGAGCGACTGTGTGGGCAATGGAAACTGTCAGGAGAAAGCGCCAAATCATTACGACAATATAGCACTTGGAAGATATCACTATAAGAATTTATAATAGGACGGTGGAAAGAAATGATGCCCAACCACTTACACGGTCGGGGATTGAACGCCGACCTGCAAGAAGCGAGACCGTCGCTCAACCGTCCAACCCAAGTGGACAGGTTAACATTGTTTATCTTATAGGCTAGCCAATCACGTTGCCGGCTCGGCTGAAGAAGTGACCAATCACATGTGTTTGTTCGTAGATATATTATAATATATATATAATATATAACGTTTATATTTTCGCCAGTCATATAATAACAATAATAATTCATTGTGTCGGGGGACAGGCAGCCAGTATATATATGTACATGTTAGGCTTATCCTGTCTCCATTATCCTGACCCCTTCCATGTGCTATTTAGTCCTAATGACTTGGCACTTTCCCCCCCTTGATATTTCTCATAGACCCTTCCCTGCTCCCATCTATTGGCCATCACACGCCATCTATTAGCCATCACACGCCATCTATTGGCCATCACACGCCATCTATTGGCCATCACATGCCATCTATTGGCCGTCACACGCCATCTATTGGCCGTCACACGCCATCTATTGGCCGTCACACACCATCTATTGGCCATCACACGCCATCTATTGGCCGTCACACGCCATCTATTGGCCGTCACACGCCATCTATTGGCCATCACACGCCATCTATTGGCCATCACACGCCATCTATTGGCCATCACACGCCATCTATTGGCCGTCACACGCCATCTATGGGCCGTCACACGCCATCTATGGGCCATCACACGCTATCTATTGGCCATCACACGCCATCTATTTACATCTTATTTTCTTATCAAATGAGTTTATTTCGAAGTAAAATATTTTTTTCCAAGTTTAAGACATATGGCGTTGTCTCTTGGGCTGTACTTGAACCCTCTTCATTAAGGCACGTTCGTCTTCGCGCTCTGATAACCATGCGTAAATCTGTGTATCTATGTATTTACGTATGTAGGTTAGCTTAGCATTTTAAAAGCACCGAATCACCTTCTGTGGTCGAGTGTTCAATAAACCCTTGAACTATATGTTTAACACTTCTCTAACCCTGTCCATGGAGGACAGAAGAAAATGTATATATGCTGGTTAGCATTGTAAATGTCTGGCCACGTCTGTGGTAGAAAATAATAATAATAAAATAAGCTATATTCCCTGAGATGGACTTGTGAACTTTCAAATTCAAATTTGTATTCAGGTAAGAGAACATATATAGATGAAGAGTTACAAACATTAAGTTGGATTTATAGATAGATCTAGAACATACAATACCTAAAACCACTAATATAGAGATAGATCTAGTACATACAATACTTAAAGCCACTAATGTAGAGATAGATCTAGAACATACAATACCTAAAGCCACTAATGTAGAGATAGATCTAGAACATACAATACCTAAAGCCACTAATATATAGATAGATCTAGTAGATACAATACCTAAAGCCACTAATATAGAGATAGATCTAGTAGATACAATACCTAAAGCCACTAATATAGAGATAGATCTAGTACATACGATACCTAAAGCCACTAATATAGAGATAGATCTAGTAGATACAATACCTAAAGCCACTAATATAGAGATAGATCTAGTACATACGATACCTAAAGCCACTAATATAGAGATAGATCTAGTAGATACAATACCTAAAGCCACTAATATAGAGATAGATCTAGTAGATACAATACCTAAAGCCACTAATATAGAGATAGATCTAGTACATACATTACCTAAAGCCACTAATATAGAGATAGATCTAGTAGATACAATACCTAAAGCCACTAATATAGAGATAGATCTAGTAGATACAATACCTAAAGCCACTAATATAGATAGATCTAGTACATACAATACCTAAAGCCACTAATATAGATAGATCTAGTACATACAATACCTCAAGCCACTAATATATAGATAGATCTAGTACTTACAATACCTAAAGCCACTATTATATAGATAAAGCTAGTACATACGATACCTCAAGCCACTAATATATAGATAGATCTAGTAGATACAATACCTAAAGCCACTAATATAGATAGATCTAGTACATACGATACCTAAAGCCACTAATATAGAGATAAGAGCTAGTAGATACGATACCTAAAGCCACTAATACGCGCAGCGTTTCGGGCAATATAACTATAACGTGTTATCAGTTATTATATAACTCGATAACTTAAGGTGGGTTGATCAAATGGTCCTGGACGGACCGAAACGTCTTCGTCTTCTCCATCTTGTGAGTTGTGGTTCGGTTATCATATCTTCAGCCCCGTTATTGTGACTCATAACTGCGTGCCTGTTAACGTCTGCGTGTCTGTTATCGTCTGCGTGTCTGTTATCGTCTGCGTGTCTGTTATCGTCTGCGTGTCTGTTATCGTCTGCGTGTCTGTTATCGTCTGCGTGTCTGTTATCGTCTGCGTGTCTGTTATCGTCTGCGTGTCTGTTATCGTCTGCGTGTCTGTTATCGTCTGCGTGCCTGCTATCGTCTGCGTGCCTGCTATCGTCTGCGTGCCTGCTATCGTCTGCGTGCCTGCTATCGTCTGCGTGCCTGCTATCGTCTGCGTGCCTGCTATCGTCTGCGTGCCTGCTATCGTCTGCGTGCCTGCTATCGTCTGCGTGCCTGCTATCGTCTGCGTGCCTGCTATCGTCTGCGTGCCTGCTATCGCCTGTGTGAATGCTATCGCCTGCGTGACTTATCGCCAGCACACTTGTTATAACGCTATCGACCAGGACAGGCTGGGAGACCGATAGACTGCCCCGCACACAAATACTTGATATCTTCTCACATAGACATGATATCCCTTACTAATAAGGTGTCTAAATTGTAGCTTGTATTTCTGCCTTTCATGTGATATAAAGTTATATTTATCACATATCTAGAATATAAAATGAATCGACAGCTATTACACTCGAATTATATATATATATATATATATATATATATATATATATATATATATATATATATATATATATATATATATATATATATGTCGTACCTAGTAGCCAGATCTCACTTTTTGGCCTACTATTCAAGGCCCGATTTGCCTAATAAGCTAAGTTTTCCTGAATTAATATATTTTTTCTAATTTTTTTCTTATGAAATGATAAAGCTACCCATTTCATTATGTATGAGGTCATTTTTTTTTTATTGGAGTTAAAATTAACGTAGATATATGACCGAACCTAACCAACCCTACCTAACCTAACCTAACCTATCTTTATAGGTTAGGTTTGGTTAGGTAGCCGAAAAAGTTAGGTTAGGTTAGGTAGGTTAGGTAGTCGAAAAACAATTAATTCATGAAAACTTGGCTTATTAGGCAAATCGGGCCTTGCATAGTAGGCTGAGAAGTGCGTTCTGGCTACTAGGTACGACATATATATATATATATATATATATATATATATATATATATATATATATATATATATATATATATATATATATATATAATATATGTGTATATATATGTGTATATAACTTCAGCAGCCACATATAACACATGGCCAAACATTAACATAGTGGCTCAAACTGTGAGTATACTCGTTAAAATCAGGTATGTTGCCCACTCTGCTCTCCTCTGATTATACTGCTAACATATCTATCCCCTAATACGGTATGTGTGCATAGTGTTCTTCCCCTTGCAAAGTTCCTCAAGCCCATCATCACCCAACAAAAACTGGGTGTTAGAGAATTCTACCTTGAGGTTACCTTGAGGTGCTTCCGGGGCTTAGCGTCCCCGCGGCCCGGTCGTCGACCAGGCCTCCAAACTCTGTCTTCAGACAACACACAGCCCCTCTGAATAAATATTATATGGGTAAATAAGACGAACATGTTGATCAATCAATCACTTGGTTGATTGATCACCCCAAGCTGTACCATTAGGTCATGCTGGTACAGTCGAAAAAACCCGTTCTCGCACTTGCTTTAAGTCAATATTGGCTTATTTAATAAGTGAATGCAGGCGATGAGTCACAATAACGTGGCTGAAGTATGTTGACCAGACCACACACTAGAATTTGAAGGGACGACGACGTTTCGGTCCGTCCTGGACCATTCTCAAGTCGATTGAGTGCATATGTGACATACTAATGCATAAGTGCATATGTGACATACTAATTGATTGTGAATATTTTAGTTTACCTTGAAAAGCTTCATAGAAAACACCGACCTTACCTAACCTTCTTAGTATGTTAAGATAAGCATCTTATTGCTTCTTAATTACAATTATTACTTAACCTGTACCGTCAGTGGTACAGTACTCGGCTGGCAACACCTAGGCCAGGGTTCGCGCCCACCTCCACAGCCCTATCTTGAGATCTTGAGGTTATCTTGAGATGATTTCAGGGCTTTAGTGTCCCCGCGGCCCGGTCCTCGACCAGGCCTCCACCCCCAGGAAGCAGCCCGTGACAGCTGACTAACACCCAGATACCTATTTTACTACTAGGTAACAGGGTATGCGTAGGGTGAAAGAAACTCTGCCCATTGTTTCTTGCCGGCGCCTGGGATCGAACCCGGGACCACAGGATCACACGCCCAGTGTGCTGTCCGCTCGGCCGACCTGCTCCCTAGTGGACTTTCCCAATGTTTGTACTCAACCCAACTGTTGATCCAACTGTTGGTCCTACTGTTCCAACTGATCCAACTGTTACTGATCCAACTGTTGGTCCTACTGTTCCAACTGATCCAACTGTTACTGATCCAACTGTTGATCCTACTGTTGGTCCTACTGTTCCAACTGATCCAACTGTTACTGATCCAACTGTTGGTCCTACTGTTCCAACTGATCCAACTGTTACTGATCCAACTGTTGGTCCTACTGTTCCAACTGATCCAACTGTTACTGATCCAACTGTTGATCCTACTGTTGGTCCTACTGTTCCAACTGATCCAACTGTTGGTCCTACTGTTTCTTGTCGTACATAGATTAGCAAAATAATAACAATTATAATATTGTCAAGGCGTAAATATTATTGGTAAATGGATTACCAGTCTGCAAAAAGATTACATAATCAACAAAAGAACAAATCCACAAGGGCCGTGACGAGGATTCGAACCTGCGTCCGGGAGCATCATTCGAATCCTCGTCAAGGCCCTTGTGGATTTGTTCATTTGATGCATCACGTTATTGTGATCTGTGTGTGTGATAACCAACTAAATATTAGTTACTTTAAGAACAGTTCTTGACGTAACTTAGTGCAAGTAATATACCATATTACTCTTGTGATATAATTACCTGTTAATTAATAATATAATTAATAAAAAGTAATAATATTACCCACATTATCCTTGCTCCCTTGGTGGCTGAGGGGACAGAACACTAGACGCGTGATCCTGTGGTCCCGGGTTCGATCCCGGGCGCCGGCGAGAAACAATAGGCAGAGTTTCTTTCACCCTGATGCCCTTGTTACCTAGCAATACAATAGGTACCTGAGAGTTACTCAGCTGTCACGGGCTGCTTCCTGGGGGTGGAGGCCTGGTCGAGGACCGGGCCGCGGGGACACTAAAAGCCCCGAAATCATCTCAAGATAACCTCAAGATAACATTAAAATGTGGGCTGTACTCCAGTACATTGGTCCAGGTGAGGTAAGGTTAGGTTAGGTGAGGTTAGGTGAGGTTAGGTTAGGTTAGGTGAGGTTAGGTTAGGTGAGGTTAGGTTAGGTGAGGTGAGGTTAGGTGAGGTTAGGTGAGGTTAGGTTAGGTTAGGTTAGGTTAGGTTAGGTGAGGTTAGGTTAGGTGAGGTGAGGTTAGGTGAGGTGAGGTGAGGTGAGGTTAGGTGAGGTTAGGTGAGGTTAGGTGAGGTTAGGTTAGGTGAGGTTAGGTGAGGTGACGTGACGTGACGTGACGACGTGACGTGACGTGACGTGACGTGACGTTAGGTTAGGTTAGGTTAGGTTAGGTTAGGTTAGGTGAGGTGAGGTGAGGTGAGGTGAGGTGAGGTGAGGTGAGGTTAGGTTAGGTGAGGTGAGGTGAGGTTAGGTGAGGTTAGGTGAGGTTAGGTGAGGTTAGGTGAGGTTAGGTAAGGTGAGGTGAGGTGAGGTTAGGTAAGGTGAGGTGAGGTGAGGTTAGGTTAGGTTAGGTGAGGTTAGGTGAGGTTAGGTAAGGTTTTAATCTTTATTACTTAAGGATTTATATTTCTGCCCATATTTTATCAGTGGTTTAAAACTATAGAGAGTATTTGACTGCGGCAACTGTTAAGACAGTTTGATAAGACTGATTCTAATTCATTGGCTTAGTCTTCACTATTTAATTTGTCATTAATAATTCAATATGTTGGCCTTTAATTAATTTAACTAAAAATTTAATTACTAACATACTTTATTACTATAATTATGGGTTAACTATTTTCCATTAACGCCTAAAAATTGTCGTAAAAGCATATTGACTTTTAGCTTCTCTTAGTTTAAATGAACAGTCGTTAATTTAAGTATTTAAGTATTAAGTAATTTAAGTATTAAGTATTTATATAATAACTTGCTATGGTAATTTTTATGTGTCTTTTCATAAAATTCATATTAAATGCGAGTTACTGACACACACAAAACATATATATTGCTGGCAGGACGGGAACCGGCGACGAGGGTGCTGTCTTGTACAGCTCACGGGGCCAGATTCACGAAGCAGTTACGCAAGCACTTACGAACCTGTACATCTTTTCTCAATCTTCGGCGACTTTGTTTACAATTATTAAACAGTTAATGAGCTCCGAAGCACCAGGAGGCTGTTTATAACAATAACAACAGTTGATTGGCAAGTTTTCATGCTTGTAAACTGTTTAATAAATGTAACCAAAGCCGTCAAAGGTTGAGGAAAGATGTACACGTTCGTAAGTGCGAACGTAAGTGCGTTCGTAAGTTCGAAAGTGCGTTACGTTCGTCACGTAACTGCTTCGTGAATTTGGCCCCAGGTTGCGAAAGGTTGTGTAGTAGAGGAAAAACATGGTTTATGTCCGGCTCACGTAACACTACTGCGTGCTCTGGGGGGTAGCGTAGCGGGAGCCGCTGCTCTTAAGACCCGCGTTCAATTCAATTTCTTTATTATGCACCCCATACCCATCCCGTGGGCGGTGGTGTAAGTTCGTAAATAGCTTCCAGTTTTAAATATAAATATTTAAATTATTAAATTATTTACTATTCGCAAATAGCGTCCTGTTTCTTCCTGGGGCCAGCCCAATCATTTGGGCTGGACGGTAGAGCGACGGTCTCGCTTCATGCAGGTCAACGTTCAATCCTGGATGGTTCAAGTGGTTGGCCACCATTCCTCCCCCCCCCCCGTCCCATCCCAAATCCTTATCCAGACCCCTTCCCAGTGCTATATAGCCTAATGGCTTGGCGCTTTATCCTGATAGTTGCCTTCCCTTCTTCCTGGGGCCAGATTCACGAAGCAGTTACGCAAGCACTAACGAACGTGTACATCTTTCCTCAATCTTTGACGGCTTTGGTTACATTTATTAAACAGTTTACAAGCATGAAAACTTGCCATTCAGCTGTTGTTATTGTTATAAACAGCCTCCTGGTGCTTCGGAGCTCATTAACTGTTTAATAATTGTAAACAAAGCCGCCAAAGAATTACAAAAGATGTACAGGTTCGTAAATGCTTGCGTAACTGCTTCGTGAATCTGGCCCGAGCGACATTAGCCTTACGACGGGAGTATGAACGAAATTGTTTACCAAAGTACTCGGGTAAATGCTTATTGAATCTGGCCTATACTGGTGTTCTTTAGTGTGTTACTAAGGTTTTTTAAGTGTGT